ATACAGCTTTGATAAAAAATATGAGGCATCTTATTATTGTTTAAAGTTTTATAATAGTTCAAAAATTAATTTATGCATTTATTAAATTGCTGGTGCTTAGTAGTCTTCTTAACAATTTTGTAATCGTAGTCACTACTGAATAGCAGAATTGCAAAAAGTTCATCAAACCGTTCTTTAAAATTGACCATCAAGCGTCCATCGAAGACGCCATATTGTCAATCGTTCGATGAAAATGCGATGGATTTATACTGAATTAAAAAACTCACCCTATGTTATAACTGTGATTTATTAACTGTCATTAATATTTTGAATGAAAGCCGTTTATTTTAATCTTAATTACTGGAAATGGAATTTCAGTTACATTCGAAGAATTCTTTTTTCTGGCGCATTCTTACTAGAATATGGACAATTCTCGAGATAAATTATATTTTTTTTTTTTTAAATAGAAACTTAAACATTAATTATCAAGTCTCCATATAATTGTTTCATACACTTTTGCCACGTGAAGATCATATTCTTGAGTGAAGCCCTATTATATATTACAGTTTATGAAAGTTGTCAAACTATTTGTGAAAACCGAAGCCACGAAAGGAATATTCAATACATTTATTAATTTATAATTTTATATGATCATACCATTATACAAGAAAAGAAAAGTATATAAAAAATCAAACATATGCTAAACTTGTATATAATTCAAAGAGGTTGTTATTATAAAGTAAGTAAGGTAAACAACAATCAAGTTCTAAGTAATATGTAACGTTTCAAATAAAGTGTATAAAATCGAATGATACGAGCTTCTTGTCCGTTGAAAAGCGTTAAGTACATAAATTGTGATATACATCACAAATCATTATGCGTAATTAATGATTTGAAAAAGAAAACAAATGTATTTATGAAAAGTTAGCATTACGAGGGAATTGAATGTATATGTTATTTATTTCAATATGTTTGTTGTAATATATAGCCCAGATATGCTCGGACCACTTCACTGAAGACTGCTTTACGTATGGAAAGAAGTCGAATAGGAGAAGTCTTAAAAAGACAGTAGTGCCGACATTATTTTTGACATCTGCAAAAGTTCGATAGGTATTAATGTAATACATTAAACGTATAAATGAAAAGAACATAATTTATTATGTATATTAATCATATATATTTCTTCCCTATATTAGAGATGACATGAATTTGAATTGTCATGTCATTAACCGAAAATTTCAATTGCTTCCTGATACTGCATCCACTACTGCAATTTCAAATGTACCAGAAACAAGACAAAACAAAGTCCTTCAGTACCTTGTAAAGACGAGAACATATATAAGAGTACGCGAATATTCAAAACGTTTATGTCACCGAAGGGATCAGCGAAGAAAAGACAAAAAAATGAACAAAATTGTTAGTGCGAAGAAAGTGACTTGAAATAGAGAATAAATTACATTGTACATAAAGCAATTCATTTTTCAGTTAAGCATCTATGTAAATACGTAACGTATAAATAATGTTGTGTTTATTCAAATAATGAGTGTGTAATAACTTGTTTCCTTTTCTAAACTATCCTCCCACAAAGAAACGTATAACAGCAAGCAAAAATAAATTCAACTGGATCTCATTACTTACTCAAACTTGATCAATTTCAATCCACACTTTTGTATAGCAGTATTCAATTTATTTGTTATCCGCAGTTTTGTATAGCATTATTCAGTTTTGTATAGCAGTGTGTATTCAATATATTTCAATATTCAGTATTTAATTCACCAAAGGTACGTAAACTTCATTAAAAGTGTAATTAAAAAAGAATGTCAAACTAGTGATTCGCCAGCGGTTTCTAATATGTATTAATACGTGTGTCGTTACAAACTTTCAAGTTGGAGAGTTACTATGGCTCTCTAAAATACATTAATATTATTTCTGCAACAGAATATAAGGTTGTTATTCACCAAAGGTGCCTAAAATTCATTAAAAGTGCAATTGAATTAAAATTTTAAGCTTGTGATTCGCCAGTGGCCACTAAAACACATGAACACTTATGTCGTTGCAAAATTTTAAGTTGGAGGCTTACTACGAGTCTCTAAAATACATTTATGTAATTTGTATACAAAATAGAAGTTTTCTATCATTTCGTCGAGTATAACGAAAATTAGGCAACATAATAGACTTTTCTCCCGAGATTCTAGGAACTTTTTTAAGGTTGGTACCCTTTCAGCTCTTCGAAGCCAGAAAGCAAGCGAGACAAACGATTTTCGAGAGAGACACTAAACCAACTGAGCACACCATGTATACTTCCACCATGTTTCCAACTATGACAAATCGACACAATCGTACACAGCTAAAATGCTGAGTTCAACTGTGTCGTCTCTTCATAGCTACCAACATAACCAAGATTTTTACATTTTGTACTATTTATTTATCTAGGAATGATATTCCGACATTGCATAAGTGTATACGAAACAAATAAGGTAACAAAATATTCTTTTGAATTAGTAAATATACCAGAATACTTTTCCTATTAAGGTGCTTTTTTATGCGCAGCAAGCTGCAGCAGCAATTCGTTACTATTGGTTAAGAATTTTATGTAAGCTAGACGACGCACTTCCTGCGCAAAATACATTTTGCCGCAGTTCGTTGAAGTTGAACCGAACGAACAGCAAACAGCAAGCGGCAAAATCGAGAAAGCGTACAATACGTCCGTCGTTTCATTATGAAAATATTATTTATTGCAATAAATATTAGGAAAATAAACGAAGAATGGCTTCGGATAAGGTACGAATGTTTGTAAATTAGATCATTTTATACTTTACACTTTACTTTTTCAAATTTGTGATAAAGTATAAAATGATCTAATTTATGTATTTTGCGCCGGAAGTGCGTCATCTAGCTTACATAAAATTCTTAACCAATAGTAACGAATTGCTGCTGCAGCGTGCTGCGCATGAAAAAGTACCTTTAGAAACACTAGTGTAAAGTGACTAAATAGCGTTTCAGCTACAAGTTGACACTGTGTAACACTCTGGGTGCGTTCCGAGTTAGAGCCCCAACACACACTTTTGCATAATGCATAAAGCATGTGCATAAGGAATTTCATTGGTCCATTTTCTTATGCATGAGTCAATGGACCAATCAAATTCTTTATGTATATGGTTTATGCGTTATGCAAAAGTCTGTGCTCCCCGCTT